CGCCAAATAGTACATAAAGGTCTTTCGTACTAAACCCTATAGGGGTTTAGGGGTTTAGGGTTTTGGGGTTTAGGCGTTTAGGGTTTAGGGTTCAGGGGTTTAGGGTTTAGGGTTCAGGGGTTTAGGGTTTAGGGGTTTAGGGTAAACCCTAATCCCTGAATCCCGAAACCGCCCGATGTCTCACCCCCGACCCGCGCCTGCCGCTCCCCGGTGAGGTTTGGCCGATGCCGGGGCCAGAAGTGCCGGGAACCTCGGGAAATGTCGCATCTTGTTTCTGAGGCAGCTTCCGTGTCCGAGGCCGCGACACAGAGAGGGTTTTGGGCTTAAGGTGGGATCTTCTGATTTGTGGCTCCAAGGATGACCTGACAGCTCAAGGTTAAGTTATAAACTTATTGAGGAAACCTGTCATAAGTTTAATACGGTGCTTTCCAGAACCCTAAGCCCGAAACCCTAAAGCCTAAACCCTAAACCCGGGCTTTCTGAGTGAGGGTTCGAAGGACGTTAAGCATTTCCTTGCTGGCTCCGAAGCTGAAAGCTCCAGCCAGAACTCAAGATGTGTTTAGGGGTTAGGGGTTCAGGGGTTTTCGGGGTTTAGGGTGTTTGGGGTTTAGGGTTTTAGGGTTTTTAGGGGTTTAGGGGTTTAGGGTTTAGGGGTTTTTAGGGTTTTTAGGGGTTTAGGGTTTAGGGTTTTTAGGGGTTCAGGGTTTAGGACCTTTTTTTGCGGCCTGGATTTTGTGGGCATGCGGACAAACTTAGTCCGAAGTCATGCGAATTGAGTTCTGGTTTGCGGATGCTCGTTCTATGTCTTACGGCTCTGCCTAGACGTTGCGAAATACTCGTTCCCAATTTGGCTAGTCATGTGCACAGAGATCAGGTGGTCACCTTTGGCGCCGCACTGACGGCCTGCGAACGCGGCCGGCAGTCTCGGCCTTGTTAAAAGGCCTTCAGGGTTCTTCGGCTGGGGCTCGTAAGCTTTGGACCGAGACGTCCTGGTCAGATGTTTTAGGTCGCAAGTACTTCTCGAGACGAAGAGTTGATCTTAGTGCCTTGAAGCTTCCCAGCCATGACATGAAGCCTACGGGCGCTTCAAGGCTGCACTGCAAGGTATCTTTTCAAGCGTAGGCGCCGGAACATGCACATGCCGACGAAGCTTCCTGAAGTCTGCTGCAGAGACCGAGTCTTTAGCCATGAGCGACAAACATCTAGGTAAAAAGCACTGTCTGCTTGCCACAATAGCATAGGCTTTGATCCTTCTGGGGAAGCCTTGGGTTCACCCGACTCCCATGCCATGCGATTAGTTCCGAGCTCAGTGAGCTCCCAACCATGGAGCTGCGCCAAAGAAAGGCGGGAAGGAAGGATCAGAAGATGCTGGAAGCGGAGGAGGCCTCGTGGTTAACACTACAATAGTCACCTTTCACGTTCCATTACTCGGTGGAAGACTTCAAAAGCACTGGGTCGTCTTTGCTTTGCAATGTTTGGGTCTCTACGGTTTGGGTGTGCAGTTTTGCGATGTTGGTGATTTGGTGTTTATACTCATTGTGAGGTCCTTTGCCGCATTTGCCAAGACTCCAGCGGAAAGCTGGTGCGCGCCTGCGGCTGCAAAGGCACTCTTGCATATGTCCACCCGGAGTGCCTGATGCAGTGGCGGGCCTACTCACCCAAGGCCGCAGCAGAGTGTGAGCTGTGCAACTGTTTGTACACTCTGCCTGGCCCTCTCGGTTGTGGCCAAACATCAGCACTGACATTGACGCTTGTCGCGCTGCTGATGATATGGATGTCGTTGGCACGAGATGTACTTGTTGTGAATGGCTCACTCCTGCCCGCAGCAAAGCACTGCAACGTCGGTGAGTTCACGCCTCCTTGGCGCCGCGCACTGGTGAGCCTCTTCGAAGCTGCGGACCTCGACCAAGACGGTGCCATGTCCCTGGAGGAAATGCGAGCTCTGGCCAACCGCACCGGAGAAAAAGTCAGTGATGCCGTTCTCGAGCTGGCGCTCAAGCTCGCAGACCACAATGAGAACCCTGGGTCCTTCTTCAGGAAGTTCATTTTCCGCAACCCAAATAAGGTACAGTAACGGCCATGCTTTCTTGATGATGCTAAGCTGGTAAACACCCATCATGACAAACGCTAAACCCTAAATCCTAAACCCGAAGTCCTGAACCCCTGAACCCTATACCCCAAAGTCCTAAACCCCAAGTCCTAAACCCCTAAACCTAAGCCCCTAAACCCTAAATCCTTAATCCTGAACCCTAAACCCCTAAACCCTAAATCCTGAACCCTAAACCCTTAAATCCGAAACCCTAAATCTTAAAGTCTAAGTCTTACATCCTAAACCCCTAACCCCTAAACCCCTGATTCCGACATCCTTAACACGAACCCTAAACCCTAAACCCCTAAACCCTGAACCCTAAATCCCTACATCCGACACCCTTAACAAGAACCCTCAACCCCCAACACCTAAACCCCAAAGTCCAAAAACCCTAAACCCTGAAACCTAAACCCCTAAATCCTAAATCCTTAACAAGAACCCAGGAGAGGCCTCACTGTGCGAGGTCTGCGGCAGACCTACGAGCGTGACAGCGGCTCCGTGCTCTTGCAGGATCCTCGAGGTTTAGGGTTTAGGGTATAGGGTTTAGGGTGTGGAGCTTGGCTTTGGGTTTTAGGGCTTTCTGGTTTTCAGGGGTCTTTAGGGCGTAGGGTTCTAGGATTTCTGGTCTTTAGGGGCTTTAGGGGCTTCAACTTTTGGGTTCGGGGCTTTTAGCGCGGTTTGGGGTCTTGAGGTTTCGGGTTTAGGGTTTAGGGTTTAGGGTTTAGGGAGGGGGGCTTGCAGCACTAATGTTTCAGGTATGAAGGGCTTAAAGCCATGCCTCCTTTCCAGAGCAGGATCTCAAGATCTACAACCTCTCTCATGTCCTCCGACACGAGGAAGGCGCGAGATGTCGGAAGCCAATGACTCGAAAGAACTCAGCCTGCCTTACACCTCCCATCCGCGGAGTATAGCTTTTGGTTCGGTTTAGGGTTTAGGGATAACTTTTGGTTAGGAACCCAAAAGGACATAAGCGTAAGCACTTCAAAGGGATATCCCTACTTTACATTACTTTACTGGGCTTCATTATAAGGAGATTTATATGGGATATCCCTATCCTAATTTTTGCTTATGTGCTTCGTTGGGGCCCTATTTGGTTTCTTCCAAACCTCTCCAAGCCCCAATAGAAAAGCCGGAGCAGACGAATTGAAGCTGGCTAAGATGCAAACTCGCTTCTACTGTTTGCGAGAATGTTTCTCCATATGTGTATACAAATATAATATATATATATATATATATATGTATATATATAAACCCACATACATACACATATACATAAATGTATCTCTCTATCTCTCTCTTTCTCTCTTCTCCATGCTCTTGCAGGTGACGTGAGCGGGACTTCCTGTGCACTCTCCTTCGTGGCCTCGGCCTTGGCCACACGCGAGGCAACGTGGGCTTATGGGGTTTAGGGTTCAGTGTACTATAGGGGCCTAAATAGTGACCAATGCCATTTTGGGGCTTCCATATAATTATATATACAGGTATATAAATATATATGTATGTATGATGCAACGCAAAGCACCATTGGAACTGTTCAGGCCCCTACATTGGAGAATGTGTTGGGGGGGCACTGTTCTCCTTGGGCGGTAGCACTCGTATCTCTAAGACCTCGAAAAGTCTAGCTGCTAGCTCTGTCGTGGCATGGCATGTCGAGGTTCGTCTGGACGGCTTCCCCTAGCATCCGCATGAACCTCTTGAGGATCCTCTCTGCATAACCTTCAGAGTACGTAAAGAACAAGGTTGGCCAACACTCACCCAACAATGACAGAGGACGTTGTGCAATGTCTGAATTGTCTCTTTTAAGCTAGTCAGAAGAAGCGCCTTCATAGGGAAGGTCATGAAAAACCAAACTAGCACGACCACCGAGACCAGGCAAGGCAAACAGCCACTTAGGAACTCCGGAACTGTAGTGGCAGCACAGTCGAAGACTGGAAGCATGGAAGAGAGATGCACCGTATCTGCGACTAACATCCCATCCTACATCGCGGAACCTCCGATACCAAACAAGATAGAACAGAAGCCCTCCACTGATGGCAGGCACGGCAGCTCTTGAAGCTGAGTCCGCTCGCGCACCTGCAATGGCGACGCGTTGCCCTTCAAGGACTGACATGGTTCAGAGCCAGCCCTTTACTGAAAGTGGTCCACAAGTCACAAGTCAATGTGCCCAGACTGCCCAGCGAGCCCAATACCCCTTAATCAAGAATTTACTTGAATATGCCATGAAAACTATCGGGGTCTTTATATATGTTGGCTTCAGGTGTATTCTTTAGTTAACGGGTATTTCGCACCTTGGGTATGCCTCGCTTGATCATCCCGAGTCCACAGTCCTTTCAGGACTGCTGATCCTTGCCTTGATTCTGCTTCTTCATTCCTGGCAGTGTACCGGTGCTCCTTGGACAGTATGGCGCATCTTCTGGAGCTTAGACCCAGAGAGCCCAATACCCCTTAATTAAGGAATATACCTAAAATTTTAATATTAAGGCCCCTATAATTTAAGGTATACTCCTTATTTAAGGAATCTACCTTAAATCTCAATATTAAGGCCCCTATAATTTAGGGTATATTCCGTAATTAAGGGGTATTGAGCTCTCTGGGGACTAGGATGACGAGGATACTGAAGTACCAGTACCAAGCTCGCCTGGCCAAATAACCTATATTAGTTTTTTTTTGGGGGCGGGGTACCTTGTTATAGTTTTTGTAGAATATACCCCAAAACCCTATTCGAATTATTAAGGCGCCTATATTAGCTCGGTGCCTAGAGAAGTCGAAGCATCATGCCGAATCTGGCAACGCAGAGCCATCCAAACGAGCACATGTTGGAACAAGAAGCCCACTTCAAAATAGCAGTTATCTTGATGGCTGCCTTGCACGGATGTAGAAAATGCCCACGGCACTCGACTTTTAATTCTTTCTGCCCCTATCCCTTCTTCTAGATCTCCATGACGTCGACTGCGCTTTCTGTACATGTGTTGTTCCACAGTTTGTCGAACTAGAAATCACGTTTATGGGGCATCCCTTTTGAAGGCCATCCGTCTATTCACATCACACGATGCATTTGGCAGTAGCACTCCAAGGCATCAAAGGGCGAACCATGGATTGGTCTAGAGTGTTGGAGTCTTTCAGTGCGCACCAGAATCTGAGGCTATTGTTGCATTCACCTTCGCGGCATGGCCGTTGCCTTAGCCCTGCAGCATGGAAGTAGAGTTGAGGTCAGGGCACCTTGAAAAACCATCCACTGAGTTTAACTGCATCGTGAATTTTTGTTTGAGCGACACGAACGCCGTCACAGCTGTGCAAGGCCATGTGCATTGGCGGTGGACAGCGAGTCACCGCTACAAAGGCTGGGAAAAGGGGGCCCCTAAACCCTAAATCCCTAAAC